CAATGATATCCCTCATTCCATGGCCTCTTCTGAATCTGTCTTAAACCTCTGGAAGTTCTCTGTCAATGAATGATTGTAGCCACTTCTGTATGACCTTTAGTAAAACTTTACTTGTATGGGATATCAAAGAGATTGTCCGATGATTTCTGCATTCCTTTGGGTCACTTCTCTTTGGAATGGGCACAAATATGGATCTCTTCCAATCAGTCGGTCAGATAGCTGTCTTCCAAATTTCTTGGCAGAGATGAGTGAGTGCCTCCTGTGCCGCCTCACTTTCTTGAAAGATTTCAATTTTTATTCCATCAATTCCTGGTGCCTTGTTCTTTGCCAATTCCTTCAATGCACCTTGGACTCCCTCCCTCAGTATCATTGGCTCTTGATCATATGCTACCTCTTGAAATGGTTGAACATGAATCATTTCCTTTTGGTACTGTGACTTTGTGTATTCCTTCCAACTTCTCTTGATGCTTTCTGCCTCATTCAATAATTTGCCCAGAGGATCTTTCAATAGAGAAAATCGAGGCATGAATTTTTTCTTAAGTTCCCCCAGCTTGAGAAATGCTGAGCGTGTTCTTCCTTTTTGGTATTCTGAGTCCAGAAATTTGCACATTTTGTTGTAATATTTGGCTTTATCTTCTTGAGCTGATCTTTGAAGTTTTGTGTTCAGCTCTTGGACCTCCTCATTTCTTCCATTTGCTTTAGCATCGCTATGCTGGAGAGCAAGCTTCAGTGTCCTTTCTGACATCCATTTTGACCTTTTCCTTCTTTCTTGTCTTCTCAATGACTTTTTGCTTCCTTCATGTATGATGTTCTTGGTGTCATCCCACAACTCTTGTGGCCTGTATCTGTCTGTCTATCCATGCACTTCAGAAGCAATTCTTAAATGGTACTCACGATTTTAAATTATTCTCAGTGAAAGGGTCCATGAAGAGACCTATACTCATAAAACCAGAAGTCTGAGCAGACTCAAATAATTTCATTTACATATACAGTCATTACCTTTTCCATCTAGTTTTCAAATAAAAGCACAGAACTGAGTTTCATGAAATGAAGCCAAAATGAAAACATAATTAACACTATGTCCTTCTTCTGGGGATTAATCTCTACATAATAAAATAATGAGAGTATCTTAATGCCAATTAGAAAATCAGGGGGGAAAAAAGTCCTTCAAGTGGTATTAGGAAATAATTGTTCCTTTTATAGGAACAAATTTGCCAAAATTTCAAAACAATGTAATTCACTGACTTAGTTGTGTTTAATAAAAAAACCTGTAAAACTTTTATTTCTGCTACCTGCCAAGGTCCACATTTTGACCCCTGGCAAAAACCCAAACACTATGAAAAGGGGCTTCAAAAAGTTCATAGAACAATTCCATTAAATTTTCATTTCATTTTTCCATGAAGTTTTTGAAGACCCCTACACTCACTATCACAGCCAATGACCACTAGCTGTTCTATTATCTGGTCAGCAACCAGAGACCCAAAGAGTCCGGCCCACTGCCATCTAGTTAACTTGCGCTCAAAGTGTTTCTGACCCATGTGTTACCGGGTACAACTGCTCCATAGGGTTTTCTTGGCTGTAATCTTTACGGAGGAGCCCTGGTATGGCGCTGGAGGATAACAAGGTTAACAACACTTAACAACAACAGCTATGTTTATGGAAGTAGACTGCAAAGTTTCTTCCATGGAGCAGTTAGGTGGGTTTGAACATCCAACCTTTCAGTTAAGTTGTTAAGTACCACTGAAGTCAGTTCTAATTCATAGCGACCCTGTATAGAGTTTCTAAGGAGTAGCTTATGGGTTGAACCATTGGCCTTAAGGTTAGCAGTCCAGTGCTTGCCCTACAGTGCCACACCAGTTGACTGCAAATCATTTGTAGCACCCAAGGACCAGAATAAAAACCAAAGGTACTGCCTCATGACAACCCCTTTTATTACAGAGTAGAACTGTTCCATGGGGTTTTCACTCGTCAGGAGGTTAATTCAAACCCTTGTTCCTAAAGCCTAGACAGCAGAGCATGTGTACTAGGCACCAGGGACATGAAATAAATGAAACCTTGCAATTTATATAATACTATAGGAACTAAAAGGGAGCCATGGTGGCAAACTGGTTAATGTTCTCGACTGTGAACCAAAAAGTCAGCAGTTCAAATCTATCATCCGTTCTATGGGAGAATGACGTGGTGGTCTTCTTCCATAAAGTTCACAGCCTACTCGGTCACATAGCGTCACTATGAGTCAGAGCCCACTCAATGTCAGTGGGTTTGGTTTTAGCTATGAACTAAAGGCGTAGAGGGAGTTCAAGTGGAAAGGTAGAAGGAGAAAGGAGATTAATCAGGAAGGCTTCCAGAAAGATTGTTGTTGTTGTTGTTAAGTGCCGACGATATATCACGATGATTTTAAACATAAATGGATGCATTGATGCGAGAAACACTTAACTGCAGCACGCCACACCAGAGCCCTGGGCATAAAGACAAGAATGAGATCACTAAAGAACAAATAAAACTTCTCAAGCTTGAACCAGAACAAAGTAATAAGAAGACAATGCTCAATAATACAGACAAATGATGGGCAATATATTAGCGCATTTGTTGGTTACCTTCCTATTACTAAACAGATCAGTAACCAAGTACCAATCAGTCAATTCTGATTCATGGAAATTCCATATGTGTCACAGTAAAATGCGTTCCACGGGGTTTGCAATGGCTGCCTTTTCTAGGTATATCAAGAACTGTTTCTAAAGTACTGCTGGGTGGGCTCAAACTTCCAACCTTCTGGTTATCAGCCCAGGACATTAACTGTTTGCACCACCAGAAAGTGACTGGAGTTTCCCTACTGTCATCAATAACTTGAGAACTACTTGCTAAAAGCAATTTTACTTTAAAGAAATTAAACGTGATTAAAGATGTCACATAAAATGTATCAAAATTGCTTCAGAAATATTTTTTAATGTGAAAATTTGTAACATTTGGAAACTGAATTGGATAATTTAACTAGATATGTTCTACAGAAGCATGGTATTTAATCCAAAATATATAATTCAGGTTTGCATCAAAATTTTGTTATGTAATAAACTTTAAAAACACAATTTTAAACTTATAAGTGATAGGGAACTAACTAATCTATGTAACCTAAAAAAAAACAAAATTAACCCATTGTTGGCCAGTCAATTCCAACCCATATAAGACCTGTTGTTGTTACGTGCCATTGAGTCAATTCTGACTCAGAGACCTTGCATAGGGTTTCTGAGGATCAGCTGGTGGGGTCAAACTGCTGACTTGCAATTAGGAGTCCAGTGCTTATCCTACAGCATAGCACCAGGACCCCATATAACCTAACACCTCTAATTTAAGACATTTTCCAGGTGAAAGTGTAGTATGCATTTTGTGGTGACGCCTACTGGTGAAGTGAGAAAATGCACCCAAGCGAAAGCAAAAATGGCTTGATGAACAGATGGTAGTAAGGAGATGAATGTGAGAATCAATTCTTTTTCCATTTCTTCCCTGTCTAATCACCATCTTCCCTTGTGATTCTGACCACATCATCCTATTAAAAGACAACAGAAACTTATTCCCAGATATAAGAGTTCAATACGTTTTTATCTCTATGTTTTTAGGTTAAGAAATGGAGTGCAGAGTTAGATCATGTAGAATTTTGTACTTCATACTAAGGTTTCTATAGCTTTATCCTGTACCTAATATAAAAAACATTGATAGGTTGTAACCAAGAGACAAGGCGCCCTGGTGGCACTGTGGGTTACGCATAGGGCTGCTAATTGATAGTTGGCAGTTCTAACCCACCAGCAGGTTGTAACCGAGAGACAAGGAGCCCTGGTGGCACTGTGGGTTAGGCATCCGGCTGCTAATTGTAAGTTGGCAGTTCTAACCCACCAGCCACTTTTCAGGAGAAAGATGAGACTGTAAAGAGTTGCATTGTTCCAAACCATATGTAGGCTCACTAGGAGGTGGAATCAACTGGATGGCAGTGGTTTCTAACCAAAAGAGCAAAAAATTCCAGTTGTAGAAAAATCACTCAGGCTGCAATGAGGGCAAGAGGATGGGTCAACATAAGACTGGAGGTAGAATGGACAACTCAGTGACTAGCGATATTGTCCAACGAAGGAAAGATGAAAGTGAGTGCAGATAGTATGTTTTTATTGCTGTTGGTTGCTATCAAGTCAATTACAACTCAGAGTGACCCCATATGTGCAGAGTAGAACTGCTTTATGGGGTTCTCAAGGCTATGAACCTTCTAAAGTAGATGAAGCCTATCTTCTGAGGAGCCTCTTAGTAGTTTCAGACTATCATGTTTCAGTTAATAGTCAAGGACTTTATTGTTTCTGTGACTCAAGGACTCCTCTGACACATAATACATTTTCAGTAAATGTCAGCTATTTTTATCAATAACATGCTATGGCTTACCAACCATACACAGCACCATGTATGCTAGCATATAAAAGCCACATTGTCCTCATTTATCGAAAAATTATTCAACATCCAATATACCCAAAATACAAATGTCTACTAGACAAGAAAAAACTTCTTACCTCAACATAATATAAATTCCAGATGATCAAAGATTTACACATAAGGAAAAATTTTTAACTAACAAAACGTAATAGTCATATCTTTGTAAATTTCCTTACTCATTCTTAATATCTGCTAACTTTTTTTAATAAAAAGTTTAAAGAAATTATCTATTAGGTCATTTTCAGTCCCCCCCCCCAAATCTACTTTATTCCAGATAAAGATAAATGGTAAATCATCTTTTCTAATCAAATTTCATTTGAACATGAATTTTGATTTTGGCAAAACGCTTAGAAAAAGAAGTAGACAGGAATTTGGGGACAAATGTTAAGTGATTATACATTTAGATATTTTGTTTTTTCTTCCTACTGGTAGTTTGATGTTTTCTCATATCATTATCTATTTCTATCTCTGATTCTCTTAAATTTTGAAGATAGATTAGTAACCTACATTTGTAATATATGAAAAGTCATTACCTTGGATTTGGGATTTCTCCAAGAATTTCACTTAGTCTGTCAATTAAATGAATAAAATTAGACAATCCCTTCACATGTGTCCTTAAAGGGTCAGATGGTGACGGTGCATATCCTTTCCCTCCAAGCTGTATTGTTCGAATGAATGAGGTAGCCACCTATGAATTTTAAAAAATTATTAATTTATGTTTAATGATTTAGAAATGGACAAATAAAATTTACTGTATGAAGCTAGGTACATCTATATGAATTCAAGGTATACAGTTGAAGTGAAGCACTTTTTGTAACTCCTACCACACTTTGATTCAGAAGCAACTAACACAGACACAGGTGTCAGTAGTGATGGCAATAATACCAACTTTTCAGTAAAGAGCCACACCTTGTACAATTCCACAGGGGCACTATTCACTGAGAAGGTTTTTGTGGTTGTTAAGTGCCCTAAAGTTGGGCCATACTCATACCAACCCCACACAGGGTCTCTGCAGAGTGGGTTTGAACTGCTGACCTTGTAGTTCGCAATCCAGTATTTAACACATTAGCAGTCATGGAAGCAGCAGTCAAGAAACCAAACAACATACTATATTAGGCAAATCTGCTGCAAAAGATCTTTAAAATGCTCAAGAGTAAAGATAACAGTTTTAGGACCAAGGTGCACCTCACCCAAGCCATGGTATTTTCACTTGTTTCATATGCATGTGAAAGTTGGACAGTGAATAAAGAAGACTGAAGAATAATTGATGCATTTGATTTATGGTATTGAAGAAGAATATTAAAAGTACCACGAACTGCTACAAGAATGAACAAATCTGTATTGGAGGAAGTACAGACAAAATGTCCCTTAGAAGTCAGGATGGTGAGACTTCATCTCTAGGAATGGACCAGTCGCTGGAGAAGGACACCATGCTTGGTAAAGTGGAGGGTCACCAAAAAAAAAAGGAAGACCCCCCCAAGGAGATAGACTGACACAGTGGCAGCAGCAAAGGGCTCAAATGTTAACAACAATTGGATGGCAGGGCTGGGCAGTATTTCCTTCTGTTGTGCATAGGGTCACTAAAGAGTTGGAACCAACTCGATTGCACCTAACAACAATAATATTGGTAAAGACTGAGGAAGCAAGTTATGGGGCAAATCAATAAGAATATATTCATAAAAACATAGCATTAATTATGAAGAGTTATTTTATAAATAGATTATTCTATACACTGACTAGCAGCTATTGGAATTATTATAAGAAACTATGGGGTTTTCAGTGTTAACTGATCTATTGCATTAAATCTTTTGCATGAATTGACTACACAAGTAATTAACCTTTCTAAACCTTACCTTCTTTATTTCTAAAATAAAGATTTAGATTAGATAATCACTATGTCCTATCCATGTATTACCTCCTAGGATTATCGGATCAAGTAAAGTTAAAGTGCCCTGCTTTTACAATGAAAAAGATATATGTGTGATGACTATGTTGTTGTTGTTATTCAATGCCATCCAGTCAATTCCAATGCATAGCAACCTGTATAGGGTTTTCAAGGAGCAGATGGTGGATTTGAACTGCTCACCTTGCAGTTCATACTGACCTTTGGGTTCAGTGCTTATCCTGCAGCACCACACCAGGACACCTGGTACGGTTATAGAAAAGAGTGAGTATCTCCATCAATGATGAAGTTTCAAAACTATTTTCCAAAGTATATTCTTAGAAAGACAAATTCTATGAACATCAATAATTTGGGGAAGGTTCCATGCTCAAGTAACTTAGGAAATAATGACTTTAAAAACAAACAAAACCAATTTCTCTTGCGAAGGACTTCGTGAGTTTTTGGACTACATTATGAAATGCATTAGAAATATCTAAAGTGAGTATATTTTATTCCCAAAATCTCTGCCCTTGTAAGCATTTATTCAAAGGGTATTTAACAGGGAGATTTTGTCCTTGGAGGTATCCCAGGAGCATTTACCAAACCTAGTACTCTATAAAACTAGCCAGGGAAACACTGTTTTAGAGAAATTCTTCCTTGACAAACTTGACGGATACTGAAGAAAATGAAAATACCATGGATTTCAAATACATAGGTAGAAAATCAATTAATTTAAAAGTTGTGTCATGATAGTTAAAAGAATGCCACATGAAAGTGTCTCTGTTCAAAAAATAGTCTTTAAATAATCTTGAAATTATCTCATGTCCATACCAAAAACATAGACATCTGCTTGTCTTGAGCAGCATGCTTCAGGTCTGTGAAGGCATCTCTCCCCAGTCCTCGATCAGGAATATTAAGAATATGAGCCAAAGCCAGGTCATTCTTTGAATTTACTAGCAGGTTCAAATATGAAGAGATAATTTTCTTGGCCAATAATCTCATCTGTACAATAAAATATATAATAAAATACTCAGTTATTTTTATTAGTTATTCTAGAGTCATAAAAACAATCTTTTTTATACATGTATCAAAAACATATATGAGCATCCAAAGAAACTATCTCACTCCTCTTTGGGAACAGAGAATTGTCAAATAAATAGAAAACACAGGTGCGACAACCAACATATACTTACTCATAAAATCAATCCACTTGGTGCCAATAAGAAGCCATGAGTAAACATTGACAACTTATAGCTGTTGGAAAAAATGTCTCTTTCTAGAGTATACTCTGTAGAGTATGCATTTGTGATGAGGTCTCATCTCATTCTCCCGCATACATTGGCCAATTACTAGTCACTACTAGTCATAATGAAGCCCCCTAAAGTTTAGAGCATGAGCCAACTGGTTCTATTTGTCTCCCTACTTAGGTTATAATGCCTTAAGTTTAAGAGTTAATTTTTTGAGAATTACTAGACACTTATGAAAATACCAAATAAGCAACTAAGAATTCAATGTAAGGAGATCCAGTCAAATGTTAAGCAAACAATGGTAACATAATCAAGCAGTTGATTTTGACAATAACCAGCCTAAAACACAGCTATAGTACATTCACCAAAATGAATAGTATTTGGCAGCTACTGACATGGCCATTAGGTATTTCCTATTTATTGCACTAGTCCTTCACACAAAAACCATAAACCATGACATTTAATAAGCTTTTTCTTAAAATTCACTATTTATTATTATCCAAGACCTCGCAACATCTAATACTGGGAAAGAAGTGATCATGTGACTCCGAAAGGCAACAACTGTAAGATACTAGGATAAAGTTTTAAAAACAAAATTATGTAGGAGAACAAACAAGATGGTGGATCGGGTGGATGTATAGTAGATAGCTCCACCAACAACAACACAGAATACCTGACCAAGCAGGCTCAGGGGATGGTCCCAGAACTCTGAACCACATATAAAGGAATACTTAGAAGGTTGGAAGGCTCATAGCTGGGGGAAT